TGGACACACGAGGAACGATTGTACGGGTAGGGGATCGGGGAACGGATCTGAGGGGAGGAAAAAATCTACACAAAAGGGCATAACGACTGATGAATTTGCATCCAGAAGCGGGTCACAGAACAAAAGCGTGTACCCTACTTTTGATTTCAACAGCACATTTGATTTAAATTGTCCTTAGATTAATGTAGGAAAGTAATGAATTCTCGTATTTGTAATTTGTATTGCTTGTATTAAACTGCACTTCTGAGATTATTAATTAAATCTACTTTATTCCATGAAAAATAAAACACAAACATAAAACATTATTGGAAAAGAGATACACCCGTAGGAAACATTACATAAGACATTTCACATAAAAGTGCCTTCTACATGAAATATTTGTTATTTTTAACTAGAATCCATGCATCCTCATACTCGAAGTCACTTCCCTCGTGCTCCAAAATGTAATGATCTTTAACCATTTCTAAAAGATCTTCGTCGTTGTTTGGATAACGATACCTGTTTTTAAGATGATGATACCATCGATTGAACCATGTGCTTTTTTCCTTTTTATCCATCCACTTTCGACAATATCTTCTTGTGTTCGGTGTTTTCCTTCTCCCAATGAGAGGTTAAACATAGTTGTTATGCGGGTCCATTCATCACCTTCAAAGCAATCAGGGTTAACCATGGTTACATCATCGTAAATGTTCATCCAACATCGTGTTACCACCATTACCTCTCTTATCGTCCATGGATGTGGAGTATTGGACGAAGCAGCCGCGTTGGAAGAAGTTGCTTGATTGGAGGCCATTTTTTAAATTTGTGTGTTAGTTTGTTTTAATTTTATAGTACTTAAATAAGAAAAAATACAGTGATGGATGCTTTCTGAACAGGCAAACCCATGTGGTTCCAATAGCCAATTTCCAGCAGAATGCGGTCCATAAGCTCTTCAAATCGCACAAAATCATTAATCTTCACGGTGCCAAATAATCGGAAGCTTTCGTACAAATTCATCGACAGCGTGTCCATCCATAACTCGCCAAGTACCCAATGATGTGGGTTGATGCATATTGGAAAATAAACTTGTTTTAACACACAACCGTTGCAATTAATTACAGCGTTTAATTAGTGTAATATGACAATTAAAGTGACTGATAATATATATTTTATTTCTTTACTTACACGGTCAACTTCTAGCCAAGATTTACTTCCATCCAATGGGTCAAACGGATTTCCCATTGCACTTCCTGCCCATCGGAACATCTCAAATGCACCAAAAAATGACGATGACATGATTGTCCATCGAGCATCGTTTGGTCTCCGCTCATTCAAAAGCCTTCCCCATATGTCAACATGCTGCATTTAAAATTAATTTAAACATAAGTAGCTTATTAAATTATTTAAATTTTAAATATAAAGGAATGTCTTCATACCGATTCATCTAAAAATCCCAATTCACTTGCATAAAAAAGCAGATCTCAAAACTTTGCTTCCATTTTTTCATTGTATAACCGATGTTTCAAAAAAACAGCCGGTTTGTTTCCCATGTATAGAGCAGGGGCGTTACAACCCGGATTCACATACGGCTCCAATAAAAGTGTTGGGGATCGCTGACAAATACGGGGGGTGGTGGTTCGTTGTGTATTACCCCACATGTACGATATCGGGGGGCGTTTTGAACCTACATTATATACGTAGTAAATAACTATCCATATAGTAATAAAATTATAGTAAATATGATTTTTTAACATACTTACCGAAACGTATGGGGAGCTAAGATATTGAGAATGTTTCAATTGTCTAACCGGACGACTTTCTTTCACAACAGGAGGCCCGAGTATATGATTTTCCGCATCCACAATCTCGCTAGCAACAACCTTCTTTTTCTTCTTCTTCTTCTACAAAAAAGTATTAATTTTTTTAATATACTTTAATAAAATAAAAAGTTTAATATACAAAAAAAAAATTATAACCTCCTTCAAGATTTGTATTTGTTTTCTAGAATCAAACAATGGTGGATTATCAACATCTTCATCCTCGTTTACTCGATTTGATTTCTGTAGACTACCAACCACATTCTCATTCCCCTACATTTAAAGAAAAAATAATTAATAAAAAGCTTCGTTAAAAAATTAATTAATACATCATATATATTTAAATTGATAGTAATACCTCAAAAGCTTCGTTAAAAAATTCTTCCAAATCATCACCGTCTCGAGTTCCACCTTTATTTTTCAATCCTCGAATTTCTTCCTCCAAAGATTGAAGTCTTGCCATTATTTCTCGCGCGGTTTTTTTGTTAATTCCCACTGTATAAGTTCCCTCGGTAGACTTGGAAGATTGGCTGTTTCCACAGGATGGATCAGACGAAGATGCCCCCAACATAAATTATTTCATATATCAATAATAGTTGAAAATTTTTATTATACTAGATTCTGTTTTTACAAATTTACTTACATCATTTCTAAAGTTGTAGCGTACAGAAGAAGGGACTTCAGACGATTCACAATTCAGACTAGTAATATATGACAAATAATGTGGAGTAGAGGACTCGGCATCTGAGGCAATCATCTTTTTTTTTTGGGTTGATGCGCCTCGTCCTGATCAACATCGAAAACATCGCAAACTTTCGCCCAAGTTAACCTCCTAATATGAACCAGCGCAATATACGAGGATATAAATAATTGAGTCGTATCGCAGCATTTCCCCGAATTACTGGGAACATCTCCCATATCCATATCTTGTAATAAATATACGTTAATTTATAAGTGCTAGCACTAACTAAAATTTTCAAAAAAATAAAAACCAATAAATTATTAAATATATTTTTTTAATTACTTAAATATACCTTCAAAGGAATAACAAAACCCGATAGTGTGTACACAATCGCTTTTGTTGGATGGTTGGACATATGATCCTCAAATTTCTTAAACATACCTGAGAATCTAGGGTATGTTTTAGTCCATAGATAACTCCCACACGAGAACCTATATTATAAGAAAAATGTATTAGTTAAACGTATAAAAATTATTATTTTATTATAAATATTAAATTGACAAATACATATTCCATTGATCCAGGTTCTCCACCACCCACAAAAATTCCTTGGTGACTTTATCATTAAGCTCCTTTCCCAAAAAACCTTGATTGAGGATATATAGAAAAATGGCACGGACACCGTCGTGAGCCGATATGTCATTGAACCGTTGATTCAAGATAAGGAGCTCTAAATCTTCTACAAGTAAAGAAGTGTCCGTGCGATATGGGAAAACTCTGGACAGAAATGTATTTTCACCATATCCGTGTTTATACATGGTTGAAAATTCGATCCTTGATGTAAGACACTGGCCCATGTAAAGTCCGGTCACAAGACAAAACTCCTCCGGCCCAAATGACAGTGTACATCTAGAAAACCTAAAATATAGACTGCTCAGTTGCGTCCGTTTCAGCAGTAGGACGCAACATATGCAGTAACAACCCATGAATAAGAAGTCCGTCTCCGGACTGAGCTGGTAGGTCCAACAAGTAACCGAAACTAGTTGTTGAAAAAAGATCGCGCACGGGTTCATTCAAGCGACTCAAAACTTCATGCAATTTATGGCATGAAGCTTTGACAGATAAGTGACCCATCATCGTTTTGTTTGGAAGATACAAAATTAAATAAACATTAAGGTTAAATAAAGTTTTATAAAAGAAAAAAACTGATAAACAATTAGAGAAAGCACACAATATAAGACTTAATCATTTCATATATTCTATTTACTTTGTATAAAATACCAAAGGAAATTAATTAACTACATTTTTTGTATTTTCTATACTACTAGTATACCAAATTTAGCATTGTACTTTGAAAATGGTGTGACAATAACATATTTTATAACAAACCCGAAAGTACCAAAACACAATGTTATTTTATCAATACAGTATACTTCAAAGTATCTACACATTATAAACATAAAAACTTTTTCAAATCGATAGTACATTGCTATTGTATGCTATAATTGAGACATAGAAAATAACATCATTTTTAACAACATGCAAACATTGAATCATAACATGCATACAAAGGGATACAATCCTTAAAAATACGTTTAAACAATTGTTTTTTTTTTAAGAGAAATGAAAAAAATATATATAAAACCATAGGTTTTAGGAAACCTACGATTTTTTTTCCAACAAAAAAATCATAAGATACATACAAGGGGATACAAATGTTTATTAGTTATAAATTTTTTTTATTAAAAAAAAACGTATCTTTTGGGAAACCTACGGTGTACAAGTGTTTACTGCACAAACTGTGCAGTAAATGCTTGTACACCGTAGGTTTCCAAATAACCTATGGTTTCCTCTTTTTTTTTTGTTTTATAAAAAAAAATTATACGACTACAAAATACATCAAGTTCCGATCCTATTGAATCGATTTAAAAAAAAAAACGAAAAAAAAAAATTTCGTACGGTTCATACGAAACCGTAGGTGTACAAGTCGACACTGCACAATCTGTGCATTGGGCACTTGTACACCGTAGGTTTCGTATGAAACCTACGATTTTATATTTTTTTTTTCGATTTTTTTTCAAAAAAAGTTTAACTTCATATACAAAAATTACTCCTAATCACAAACACGGTAAAATTTTGATGAAAAGTAGACAAACCTGGTTGTTCTTCGGGTGCTCAATTTAGAGAAAAAAGTAGTCAAACCAAAGAAAACAATAGGAAAAAAGACCTAAACTGAATTTTTTTTTCATTATATACTTTGGGCTAATGTGCCACGAAAAAGTAAATGAGCCTGTGAAACAGTAGCCCATTACCACGAAATAGTACTTTTCGGTCTAAAACAGTAGTCAACGACGTTGACCATAGTCAACCATAAGTTGACTACGGTTTTATGGGCTATTTTTGGCTAAGTGGTATTTTTTAGCTATTTTTTGATAAGTAATTAAGAAAAATGGCTAGATATGTATTTTCCCCTACAAGAACCTGATTCTTTTCCACGTACTCCCGTTTTCTTCTTTTTCACTTCTTCACCCTTTTATTCACGTTACGTCTCTGGTTGCCCTAATCACAAACAAAATCAGCTCCTTCCAACATTCCAAGCTTGAATGGGTTAGTCTATTTTTCTCAATTTCCTTTTGCATTTTTACGTATTTGACAATTTGTAGTTCATGCTACTGCTTTTGATATTTTGTATTATGATTCAAAAAGCTGGTTTATCAAATTTGATTTCAAGTGTTTGAGATTAATGTGATGTAAATGCTATCAATTTGTTGTTTATTCTCTATTTACGTAAGTTGAAATTGAGTTCGAATTAGAATTGCTGAAAATCATTGAATTTAGCTATTATTGGTTCAGAGCTGTGCCGTAATCCGCTTCATAACAGATGAACTCCTTCAATTGCGAATATTATCAGAATCACAAAGTTGACTATATAAAGTTACCAGTTATAAAATTTTATGCAATAGTCTTTGTTAATTGGGAAAAAATATGTGGAAGAAAAATAAAACAACCTCTCCTTTTCCTTTATTTTTTTTTTAAAAAAAAAAGCTCAGACCTTTGTTTATTTGTTTTTGCTTTTCATCCGGTAACTTTTATATGGAAAATTATTTGTACATAATTCGTAGACAAAAATTTATGTTCTATAAAATTATAAAATATAACATTTTAAAACACAATTATTATGTATGAAAAAAAAAACTGCAATGTACAAATCACCTCTCATTTTATACGCACAAAAAAAAAAGCCAAGAAAACTATATAACGCCAAGAACACTATATCACAGTTCCGTATATTTTATTTATGGTTAATAACAACATTTTAACTAAAACATGTAAAATTTATTATATTTATTGAGAAATGCACCAAATAGCAAACTTTTTACAAAAAAAGTAACACAATTTGTTTTCTACTAAAAAGCGATTTATTGGGAATAATGTAGGAGGGATGTGTGGTCCCATACATAAAATAATTAAAATAAGTAACATTTTAAAAGTTATTGTAAATGAAAAATTATTAAATTTTAATAATTCCACTTCAATAATATATCAATATGTAGCCTAAAACTTACAGACATTTTGCAAGTTTCACATTACATATTGCTATAATCTTGTAAACAATGTAAAAATAAACTGCTATTATGTATAAAAACATGTAAACATATAGTTATCAAAGGTAAAAAGTAAAGCGCATTGTCGATTTTGTATTCATGAAACGTTTTAATTTTTTTTTGAAGGTACGTCTCGTCCGTGCCCTTCTCTCAAGTCATTATCAAACAAATTTGGAGGAATATTACGATTTTGCCATTCAAGAAACAGGTATGAAAGGTTAGATAGTAAGCTTGAAAAGAAAATGATAGAGGTCAAACAAAGAAGTACATCTGGAAATAGCAAATTCAGATCTATCAATAGCATAATTCTCAGGTTCCCTCAATTTAGAGAGGGATTACAAGAGATTAGAGACGTTTTTCGACAATATGGTAAGTTTAACAAGATTTTAATTCTTGTCCACTATTTTTCGGTTTTTTTGTTTGTAAATAGTTTTCATTTGGTGGGTCCTATATATAATTTTATACTTCTTTCAGTAATCATTTTATATTAGAAGTGATTATTGTTGTTGGAAAATCCATGTGTGAATAAGATAATCAGTTGATTAAATTACAGATAATTAGTTTATTCTAACAAAGCATTGTTAAGGGATGTTTGGCGTCATGCTTAATCGGTTAATCCAGTTATTCCGAGTTAAAGTTTCAGTAATTTATTGGGCTAAATGCAAGAAATGGCAATGTACTTTCGTGTATTTGTGTATTAAAGCATCCTACATTCGTTTATTTTTATTTTATTTTTTCTTATTAAAGCATTGTACTTTTTTTTTGTGTATCAATTCGAAATTTCCGTTCATTTAAAAAAATCTATCAAGTTATGGCATTGTATATTGATGACATTGCTATAACCGGATAGATTTTTCAAAATACAATGGCGTAATAGGAAGAAATGAAAATAGGATGCTATTATAAGATAATTAGTTGATTAAAGTAACAAGCAGTTACATAATTATATATATTTATTTTCACTTATCTTTTTTTCAGAATTGTTTGGCTGCATGTTTGAGTTCTGAATTTGTAATAGTTAGTTTAACTCAATGTAAGAAATCGTAATGTATCTTCATTCATTGTGTAATATATCGTCTTACTTTTACTTCTCTTTATTAGAGAAGTCTATTTTTAAATTTCTTCTTATTAAGGCATAGCATTGCTACTCTCAATCTTTTTCTCATGAAGACTTTTTAGTTTTAAAAACCTACCCAGCGATAATTTCATTATTATAATTAGGTTAAAGTTTCAATATGAAATGTTGTAATAGGAAGAAACGAAAATAAGATGCTATAATAGACAAATCGTTGAAAGTATGTTGCTATTTATTGGATTTAACCCTAATTACTTTCTTATACAGATGTTGATTCGAATGGATTTATCAATCGTGAGGAGCTAAGAAATTGCTTACAAGAATTACAATTTAACTACACAGAGCAAGAAATTGATGATCTTTTTGAGTGTTGTGATTTGAGTGGGAGAAAAGGCATGAAATTTAACGAGTTTATTGTTGTATTGTGCCTTATTTATCTCTTAGTGGGTACTGATCCCTCCTCAAATGAAACGGTAACAACAATGTTCGACTTTGATAAATTTTAGTTTTCTTTTTCTTTTGAGCAAAATTTGATGAATATATTTTTGATTTAGGGAACAAAATTTGGTTCTCCCGTGCTAAAAGCTACATTTGATACCATAATTGAAGCGTTCTTATTTCTTGATAAAAATGGTGATGGGAAACTGAACAAGAAGGACATTAGCAAAGCTATGAATGATCACTTCCCTTTGGAGAAATCTCCAATCCATGTCACCACCACTCGTTTCAGTATGCCCTTTATTTTATTGCTCTAAACAGAACAGTACATAACAGGTTGTACTGCGTTTGACATGCATTGAACTAGGACTGAGACCGGTTTCCATGAGAAAAAATTTGCAAATTTTTTCTCCCACATAAAGGTAGGACAGGAACTCATTTTTGATCTCTCGTATGTGTAAAAAGACATAATTGCCCTTTGCATCATCATCATTGAATATAGCCCTAGAAAGCTTGTTCATTTATGTCATGTGTAACAAACATAGCCTAACCGCTTAATATTTATAGAACAAACAAAAAATCATAAATTATTTATCCAAATAATGCATTTTTGACCCTATCATTTGTGCATAAATGCAGAAGAAATGGACTGGAACAAGGATGGGAAAGTTGGATTCAGGGAGTTCCTTTTCTCTCTCACAAACTGGGTAGGAATTGACTCGAATGAAGAAGTTCATGTAACACAAATCTAAGAACAACAGTAACAATGTTAGTTTGATATCGATATGTTCCTATATATACACATAATAACTACGTGCTTAGATTTATCTGAGAATAGTAATACGTAACAATGTAACATGATACGTGTAAAATGGTTTGGTAACAATACATTATTCAAGTTTTAGGTTATATATTGATATTATCGGCCAAAATGGTAAATTACATTGTTAGTTTGTTACTATTTGTAAAAAAAATAAAATAAAGTATATTCTCTATATCGGTAGTGAGACTAAAATACATTGCGATCATTGTATTCCTAAAGCTTTATGAAACTAACAAAATCACCCAACAAACAACATAAAATTTGTAAACTAAAGGTAACAGTTTCATATTTTTATGCTTTAAAAAAATCACTGAATTAAATAGTCAAAACGTTGGGTACTTGGGTATTTTGGGCTTTAAACACCAAAGGGAATATGAAATCTGAATAAATTCACGTTCCTTTATCTGCCACTTGAATCATTCACGTGAACCTATTCTATATATTATTCCAAAAAAAAACCATATGTAATTTTAGATTTTGTTATAATAGTTTATCTATAAATGGTTACAACAATAGTAATCTTCATTTATTTTCAAATTAAATAAATGCTTTTCCAAAATGATTAACACTAGATTATACATGATTTCATTCGTTATTATAACATACGTTTAATAATTAAACTTCACCAACATAATAATTAAACCTTCATTAGAAAAAATGAGTAAAAATCTCATGCAACATAATTATTTTTAAACTATTAAACAATTAAAATATCCTTCTTTTTATATGTTTTATCTTATAACAATATATGCTATGTAAATAATTATTAAAGTTAAAAAAGATATGTGTAAATATTTTTAGAAAAAACATTCTTATCAATGATAAATTTTAATAGTTATACAAAAACAATCAAATCAATAATATAAAAACATGTCATTTTAGGTCTGTGTCCGTGTATATATATATATATATATATATATATATATATATATATATATATATATATATATATATATATATATATATATATATATAAAAAGTTGTTAAACAAGAAAAAACAACTTATTAAGTTACAGCGATTTCGCACCGTGTATTTTATCTTTTTAAACTATGTTTTGTTATTGCAAGAAGCAAATAAGTACTTACTAAAAAAACATAAATTATCTTTTTCGAAAAAATAATAATAAAAAAACATAACTTATTCTAAATAAGCAATCCCAAACAACCCATACATGTTAGAAATCTAGGGTATTTCAATTTCTTGGATTTCACTGAAAGTCGTGATACGCTTTCAGATTAAAGTATTTCAATGTGGTACAATCGAAATCTTTAACCGGATAAAACTCAGTGATTGAATGAAGAACAGAGAATGTGAATGTTATGATACAATGTACCAGAAAAATGACCAAAAAACGGAATTATATATGGAGGTTTTATACAAAAAAATCTCATTATTTTGGGAATTTTTTTGATAAAGTCCTAAATATTTTTTTAACAGAAAAGTCCTGTTATTTTGGAATAATCACATAATCTGTCATTTCCTGTTAAAATAAAAAAAAATGAACTTTTCATTAATTATGGCAAAATGTTAAATAATCGGGACTTTTCTCTTCAAAAAAAAAATTAGAACTTTATCAAAAAAATATTCCTAAAATAATATGACTTTTCTGCATAAAACTCTTATATATGGTGTCTAAAAACTACCAAAACCATCACAATGCAGTTAGAAAACCACCACAAAACTGTAACAAAAACGCCTTAAAATCGGTTCCATGTAAAGGGTAAAACCATCAGGGTCAACGCCAGAGTCCAAATTATCAAGGTCAAAATTCTCAAATTCTGATTTTTTTTTTTTTTTGCATTTTTTCTATAAAGCAATATTAACCTAAATAAATAAAATTTCCAAGTTGACCTGGCATCTCGAGCCCAGCCAAGGGCTGACCCCTCCAGCAGGGGCGCTACCCTAGACCCCCGTGGTTAGGGATGAAAGTGGGTCCAAACCCGGACCGGATGGACCCGGACCCGGAAAACCCGGAACCGGTTAACGGGATTTTTTAGAACCGGAAACCGGACCGGTATATAGGAATCGGTTCCGGTTCGGTTCCGGTTACGGTACCGGGTAAAGTGGGTCTAGAACCGAAAAACCCGGAAACATAAAAGTGGGTAGGTTGGAACCGGATAAAGTGGGTTTAGAACCGGAAAACCCAGAAAAATCAAAATTTTTTGGTAATTACTTACTACTTAGTGGGTTGAACTTTGAAAATTTTCATATTGATATCCCGACTTTGGGGGACTGTACCTCATTGAATATGAAACCAAAATTAACAAAATTACAGTCTAAAATCATATACAAACTCTAAAATACACTCTGGAAAAAACCGCATGTCAATCCGACTTTAAACGAATGAGATATGCATGTGTTAACATTTTCACAGAATACGAAGTACAAAAACAAATAGCTGAAAAGTTGAAAATTTTCAGTTTTGATATCCCGACTTCGGAGGACTGTAAATCATTGAATATTAAACCAAAAATGACAAAATTGTAGTCTAAAATCATGTACAAACTGTAAACTACAAGTTGGAAAAAACCACATGTCAATCCGACTTCAAACGAATTAGATATGCATGTTTTAAAACTTTCACCGAATACAAAAAAACTGAAAAACTAAAAACTTCCAGCTTTGATATCTCGACTTTGGGGGACTGTAAGTCAATGAATATAAAACTAAAAATAGCAAATTTATAGTCTAAATTCATGTACAAACTCTAAACTACATGTTGGAAAAAACCGCATGTCAATCGGAGTTGAAACGAATGAGATATGCATCTTTTAAACGTTTCACAAAAACCAGTTCCGGCCCTAAAAGTGGTTCGGGTTCCTAACACCGGTTCCGGTTTTTAGACCCGGTTTACCCGGACCTGATGGACCCAAACCCGGATTACCTGGAACCCGGATAAAGCCAATTTTTAAACCCGGAACCGGAACCAATTCTATATATTCCAGTTCTAACGGTTCCGGTTCCGGTCCGGTTTTCCGGTTCTAAATCTCATCCCTACCCGTGGTTTAGGAGCTTCGCCCCTAAATCATAGTGTACGATGAATCAAGACAAACTCAAACAAGTGTGCACTCCGTACCACCCTTACTTGTTCAATATTTGTCATGATCATATTGGTCAACAAGTTAATCCTATAACACTTAAATAACATTGATAACATAAATCACAGCCCCCCTTATTTAAGTGCAATCTTGATTAACTTAAAATAAAATCATAAGAAACAACAAACTGATGCATAAATGAAATGTCGTGACGATTGAATTTCATATTAGTATATTACGCATTCCAAATATTTAAATATCTCAGTGTCTCACTAAGGATTGAACTCTTTCTATTCATAGTGAATACATGAAGATAATTACCACAACAGTTTACATACTCAATAGTTCTAACTTAACACTATATTTTACTGGCATGTGTCTTATCCTTTAATAAGCGTATCAAAGCTAAGTCACAAACTTCTTGAAGCGGCCAAACTTCATGCTTATATAGGTAATCCTTTTATTCTTGCACCTGTAAATGCAATTTTTCAAAAGAACTATTAAGAAATAAAATGTCAACCTTCTTTACTTGTAGTTCCGAACACATACATTGGGATAATGTTAATAATGTGTTCAAATCTTTGAATATTAAGCTTTCCGCATTGAATTCAACATCTAATATTACATTATATAGGAATTGGGTATCTTAATATGAAAGATTTCAGGTGGAATTTAAACACATCCCTACATTCGCCTTATGTACAAGATCTATAGCTAACCCTTTGGTTAGATAATCGGCTAAATTTAACTGAGTTCTCATAAACTCTATAGATATCACACAATTCATGATGAGTTCACGAATCATTATGTCTAATAACTAAATGTCTAGACTTCCCATTATACACTTGACTATAAGCCTTAGTTAAAGTAACAACACTAGCTCACCTGATTGAAAATGGTGGATACCGGTTTGGGCCATAATGGAATTTCATAAATTAAAATCCTTAGCCACTCAACTTCTTTACCAGCAGCAGCCAATGCTACAAATTCAGACTCTATGGTTGAGTTTGTAATACAAGTTTGTTTCTTGGATGCCTAAGAAATGGCACCCCCTCTTAGAAGGAATACCCAACCACTTATAGAGGAGTGATCTTTTAAATTGGTAATCTAGCTAGCATTTGAATAACCTTCTAAAAAAGAAGGAAATCCAATGTATGTCAAACCATAATCCATGGTTCCTTTTAAGTACTTAAATACTCGATTTAAAGCTTGTCAATGATGTGAATTAGGATTGCTATTATACATACTAAGATTTCCTATAACATATGGTATATCTGACCTAGTGCTAATCATGGCATACATAAGACATCTAATAGCTCTTGAGTATTCATGTTGAGACACTTGAGATCCTTTATTAGGTAGAAGCTTAATATTAGGATATATAAGAGTGCTAATAGGAGAACAATTTTCAAAGTTACACTTAGTCAATATCTTCTCAAAGCGATGTGATTGAGTAGTTGTAATTCCATTGTTTCCTTGCTTGATTCGTATACCAAGAGTCACCTCAGCCTCCCCCAGGTCTTTCATATCAAAGCTAGATGATAGAAATTTCTTCATTTTATCAACTTGATCTAGATCAGTACCAAAAATCAACATAACATCTACATATAGAAAAATTCTAACTCCTCTACTAGAAGTATCAAATTTTCTATATTCACACTTGTCAGCTTGGTTTAGTGCAAAACTGTTAGACAATACCACTTCATCAAACTTTTGATGTCATTGTTTTGGTGCTTGTTTCAGACCATACAATTATTTCTTCAACTTGCACACCTTGTTTTCATTTTCGGGCATCATAAATGCTTCAGGCTGTTTCATGTAAATCTCGTCATACAGTTCACTATTCAAGATTGCAATCTTCAAATCCATTTGGTGAATTACAAGACTTTGTATAGCTGCAAGAGCAAACAACAATCTAATAGTGGAAATCCTTACAACAGGAGCATAAGTATCAAAGA